CAATTCCTCAGCACCACATAAGAAAAAAGCTGGAAGTGGCGCTGTGGCTCAAGTGGTAGAGTGCTAGCCTTGAGCTGAAGAGCTGAGGGACAGTGCCCAGGCCCAGAGTTCAGGCCCCACGACCGGACCCCCCAAAAAAATCAATAAAAAATTTATCTCCTGTGTCAGATAAAATGCTCAGTAGTTCACAGGCACCACGCACAAATCATAGTTAAAATAACTTCTTTCAGGCACTAGCAATAGCTATTTCAACCAAAAATAGTCTCTGTAGTGACGCACACCCACTTGGCATTGGCGGTAGCCCTTTGCCCTTCCTCTTTCTCCATTTCTTGTTTATAGCCAGGGTGATGACAGAGTCAACAGGATGTGGTCATAGGCCAAGGGTCAGAAGGCCCACAGGGTAACTTCCGGGTATGATGTATAAGAGATGCTGGTCATCCTTATCCTAGAAGTGAACTCAAGCAATGTGAGTGATGGTATCTGAATCACAATAATGGCAAATAGCAAATCAGAAGAGCCCTACAAGGGCTGGAGGCGTGGCTTAACTGGTAGTGTGCCTGCCTAGCAAGTGCAGGCCCTGAGTTCAAACCATAGTACTCCTACAAAAAAAAGAGAGACAGAGCCCTGTTATAATCAAATTACCTCTAGCAAGATCTGCTGAAATGCAATTGCACAGTCCTGCCCATCCTCTATCCTGACTATGTCTATATGGGCCTGAGAGATGATATTCACCCAGACCACCTGAGCTGGCCTCCTGATTATCTGCATCAAGGTCTCCAGGCCCCAGTCCCCTTAGTAGCCTTCCTGCTCCTTCTTATTTACACTGTGGCTCCACTCATCTCTTTAGTGCTTATTCCCCCAAAGAATTTCAGGCACATATCCTACCTGTTTCCATTATCTACTTCAAATGGCCACCTCCTTACTTCCTCTGCTCTTGGGATCCAATTCCAGGAAGGCCCACACTACTGGCAGGAAATTCTCTTTATTTTTAGTACTAGAATTTGAACTCAGGGCCTCATGCTTTACTAGGCAGGTGCTCTACCACTTGAGCTACACTCCAGCCCATGGAAATTGTGTTCATTTAATATAGGTTTCATGTTCTTACACCTTAAATCTTTTCCCCTTTTCTAAGTTCTCAGCTTCTTGGTACCCCAGTGAATGTTGTACATTATAGAAAACTGTGAGGTGCAGAGTGTGCTGGAACTCCTTCAACAACCCTCTTCCAATGTCAGGTCATTCTCTTTCCCTCAACTTAATATCTGAGACTGAAAATAGATCTTTCCAAGTTGAAGCACTTGCCTCTGCTCACTATGCCAGCCACTCCTCAGCCAATACCACCAATTCCTGCCTTTATATTTTAGGTCTTTCAATCCAGTGGTTCTTTCTTCTCCCTTTGTAGGAATGCTAGACATTAGTGTGATATTGTCTGTGATTTTTATTCTTGTTATGCAATTTTACTTCCAAGTGGCTCTCCTATAATTAGACTGGCATGTATTTAGTCTTACATTATGTAAAGAAATGAAAAGAGTCAAAATTTGGGCTTTTAAGTGTCAAAAGCTGAGGTCCAAGCATAAGACTTATAGATTTATAAGAACGCAGGGTGGTTTTTGCTTTTGTTTTTGTTTGGTGCTGGTCCTGGGGCTTCCTGGGCACTGTCCCTGAGCTTTGTGCTCAAGGTTAGCACTCTATCTCTTGAGCCATAGCTCCAGCTTTTTTTGTGTGATAAATTGAAGTAAGTTACTTTTCTGCATGTCTTGCTTTGAACTGTGATCATCAGATCTCAGCCTCCTGAGTGGCCATCAGCACCTGGCTAGAATGCAGGGTGTTTTAAAAAGTCCATTTTCCAGCTCCTTGAGAGATGGATGTTCTTAGCCATGATCAAGAAGCAATGAGTTGAGATCTGTTTGGGGTACGAGAAGACAATAGCAGACATCAAAGATGGTGTACCCAAGGGTGGGTCCCAACCCACTTCTTCCATACTGGCTGAATCTACCTTGTGCAACAGGAGCTGAAAATAACAGACAGTTGCTTTCCCAGCCTCCATTGCAGCCAGAATAATAGAGGTCATTAAGGGCATTTACATAGACTTTCTTCTCTGATAGAAAGATAATAGAGGGATATTCTAGGACACCCCTTCCCCACCTGCTTGTGGGCCATTGTCATGTAAAGACATGAGGCTTACTGTTGCAGCAGCTTTATTGTTAAGGCAAAGGGAGAGCAGCCAGCCTTGGAGGATGGTGGGGGAGGATGCAGGGAAGACTGAAACCTTGCTGACATTGTTTTTTTTGTCGGTCATGGGGCTTGAACTCTGGGCCTGGGCGCTGTCCCTCAGCTCTTCAGCTCAAGGCGAGCGCTCTACCATTTGAGCTACAGCGCCACTTCCGGTTTTCTGGTGATTTATTGGAGATAGGAGTCTCACGGTCTTTCCTGCCCAGGCTGGCTTTGAACCGCGATCCTCAGATCTCAGCCTCCTGAGTAGCTAGGATTACAGGCGTGAGCCACCAGCGCCCGGCCTTGCTGACATTGTTGAGATGCTAAACCACATACGGGACCACTTGTATTTGGCTTCCATGTTATAAGAGCAGATTTAATGTTCATACTGTTTAAGCCACTGTTATTAAATTATGGACAGTTCCATTTCTAGGAGCTAGGAGAGATGACAGGACTTCCAGAAATTCGGGAAACTGAGACCTAAGGGGATTCTTCTCTCATGTCACATTACACATCTTGCTTCTTGGCCTACCAAGCAGTTCCCTTTCTGACATGGTGGGCAAATAAAAAATGACCTGTGGGGGGCTGGGAAGGTGGCTCAGTGGTAGAGCGCTTGCCTTGCATGCATGAGACCCTGGGTTTGATTCCTCAGCACCACATAAACAAAAAGAAAAAAGCCGGAAGTGGCGCTGTGGCTCAAGTGGTAGAGTGCTAGCCTTGAGCTAAAGAGCTGAGGGACAGCACCCAGGCCCAGAGTTCAGGTCCCACGACCAGACCCCCCCCCCCCAAAAAAAAAAAAAAAAAAGATAATGGGAAAGTCAAGGAGAAAATGTCAGACCTGGAGGGGCTTTGCAAGGCATGCACTCTACTGCTGAGCTACCTTCCCAGCCCCTCCTGGAGGGGCTTTGGATGTGGATGGTAAGGCTGAGCAATGGATGCCACACTCATGGATGGTAACTGGAGACCATCAGGATCAGGTGTTCTAGTGCCTAGACAGATCATCCAGATGCTGGAGCTTCAGCATCCAAGAATGTGGAAAGTTCTCAGGTATTGTCTATACCGTTGAGGACAGGCAGCAACTGGATAGCTTTCAACATTGCTGATTCTACTGTGTGTTTTCCTTCAAGCTTCAGTGCAACCCCATGAGAGAGAGGAGAGGGTCCAAAGAACCTAAGACAAATTTGGTTGATAGAATTTACTCTGGAATAAAACAAAACAAAACAAAAACCCAACAAAGAACAAGCAAGCTTATTAGGAAAGGTGGGCTTGAATTGTCATGATTTCTTTTTTTAACTTAGAGAAGTAGGTTTGATTATTTAATAGAGGGCCTTATGTTTGAATGGTGCTATACATCATCCAAAACTCACCTGACCATTTACTCCTTCAAACCAGTGCAACCTTATGGTTTGTGAACTTTAAATGACTTCAAAATTCTAGGGTCATCTTTTATGCTTTTATTTTCTCCTCCCTGCCCCTCTTTTTCTCCATCCAACCTATTTCAAGTTTTTGGCTTTTGGTACCTACCCCACAAGACTGTTATAAAAGACAAATGAACCAGATATCTGTGCCTGTTTGAAATCTGCCTGATTCTTCCTGATTGTCCAGAATCACCTGTGTTAAGGATCAATGGAACCCCACGCCAAATGTTCACAACCTGCATGTAGAGCCCATCAGAACACTGGCTCCCTCACTTGAGCTGTGTGGACTGATAAAAGAGGTCCAGTGTGGCTCTCTGCTGGTGGCTTCCTATGTCTGTTGGGCCAGTTAGCAGCTACTTCTGAGTCCTGTGTATATCTAGCCCAGGGCCTGGATAATGCCCTCTGGGATCTGTACTGATGGGTTGAATGTGTATCCCTATACTTTATCCTTATGTTTTACATAAGGGATGGGGTGGTTTCTTATGTACCACTTAGTACGGCAAGAATCTATCAGAAACTGGTTTCTGGTTTTCAAGAAGATGCAAGGTTTACAATTTCCATGGGTAGCTTCAGTTCAGAGCCCTCCTAACCAGGGTGGTATGTGAGGTAACACAGGCTTTGGCTTTCTTATAGACTGGTTCTCTTCCACAGCTGCAGGATGGGGTTTGGTCCATGGTCAACCACCAGTTGCAGTTCCAGTTCCTATCCAATTTGTTAATGGCCACTTGTTCATTCATGAACGAATGCAGGTGTCCAGTTATAAAGGCATCCACTAATCTACCTGCTAGATTATCTACTGAGAGCAGGAACACCGCACCCTTGAGGTCTACCAGGTGGGTGTCAAGCGTTTCTAAGAAGCTCTGTCCAGGAGGATTAATGTCCAGCGGCTGGGCGATCCTTGCCCTCCATTGGTTTCCTGCTTAGCTTCTAACAGCTGAGGCTGAGTATTGGCTTTTGGGTCTCATCCTGGCTGAGGAGCTGCTCCAGGCATGAAGTGGAGAACAACCAGAGCCAGAAAACAAGTATGTGGTTGGGAGAATCTAGCAGGAAAGGTAGCCAGTCAGGGCGTCCGTCCAAGATCCCTCTTCATTATCTTTGGGGCAGGGAGGAAGAGGGAGGGCAGAGGCGGAGAGGCGGGGGAGGGGGGGAGGGTAGGGGTGAGGGGGGAGGGTAGGAGGGGGGGAGGGCGCTCCAGGCCGCCCCTGCCCCAGGTGTGGGGGGGTGCCGGGATCTCGGGGCGCTGACGGGGCTGGCAGTGGCTGCGGGCGCGGGGCGGCGCGGCGGGGGCGCGCGGCGGGAGGGGCCGTGCGCGGCGCGGACCTCGAGCGCGCGGGGCCCACCGAGGAGCGCGCGCCCGGTCCGGCTCGGTGCCGGGGGGACCCCAGTCACGGGCAGCCGCCGGGCAGCCCCCTCGCCCTACCATGGCGACTGACAGTGAGTGTGCTCCCGCTTCGGGGCCCCGGGGGTCAGAGGAGGAGAGGCCGCGGCGCCCAGGGTGGGAAGTTCTCCTCTTGCAGGTGTCTGTCTTTGTGCCAGGCTCGCGGGAGCGGGCGGGGGGCGGGGGTGGAGGGGGAATGGCCGGGCACCCCGATCTCCGTGCTTTGGGCAGGACTTGGGAGAGGAGGCGATCCCGGCAGCTGGCTTGGGATGGAGGTGGCGGATGGGCTGGGCCTGAGGTGGGGGGGGGGAAGGGGGGGATACCTGACGCCTTGGGGCAGCGCGGCCTGCCCGCTGGCGGAACGCCGTCCCCAGGCCCAGGCTTTGGCGCTGCGAGTTCAAGGCTCGGGGTGCGGTTTGCGCGCGCGCGCGCGCACCTTCTGGGGATCAGGATGGCTTTTTGTACGGGGTGACCCCCCCCCCCCCTCACGGGGACATCCGTGTCCCTCCCCAGCAGCTCGGCTCCCCGTGGACAGGGAAGGGGAACGCGTGGAGATGTCAGGTTCCCATCCGAGCTGGGAGTGTAGGGAGGCGCGGGGGAGGGGGTTGCCTGGGGCTGGGGCACGTCTGCCTCGGTTCGGGGTGGGGAGGGAAGGGCTTGCGCTTTGGGAAACTGCAATCTACGAAAACGGATTGAATTACCTGTGGCCGAAGCTAGATACCTGTGAGTAAAAAGCCATCGGGTCACACCGCTAGCTCCACAGCTAGCACCTGAGGTCCCTTGGCGCAGCCATGACAACTAACACATATGAGGGACCTGTGGGTTTGAGGATGAAGGGAAAAGGCCTGGGGAGGCGTGTTTTGAAGAGACTAGAAGGGACCAGGATGAGAAGAGGAGGACCAGATTTTCTGCAATAATTCATTCCCTTTCTTTGAAATAAACTTACCCACCACAGTTGTGACACAAGCAGAGAACGTGAGTTTTGTAGCTAAAAAGCCACAGATTCTATAGCTCTGGGCACGGTCCCCATTTGTGTTGTCTTTTTGTGTTGTTTTGCACTACTAGGGTTTGAACTCAAGTCATGCTTGCTAGGCAAGTGTCCTACCACTTGAGCTGTACTCTAAGCCCTAGTTTCTGTCTTTTAAAATTATGGCAAGGTTGCTGGCAGTAGTCGTTCACATCTGTTGCCCCAGCACTGAGTGCTTAGGCAGAAGAATGGCCAGTTCCAGGCCAGCCTGAGTTACATAGTGACACCCTATTCCCACAAAATGGAAAGGCCAGTTGTGTGAGTCCCTTCTTTTCTCCCATTTGCCATTCTGGCTTTGTCTCTCTTTTTGATCGGTTGTGGGGCTTGAACTCTGGGCCTGGGCACTGTCCCTGAGTAATTCAGCTCAAGGCAAGAGCTCTACTACTTGAGCCACAGTGCCACTTTCAGTTTTCTGGTGGTTATTTGGAAATGAGAGTCTCACTGACTTTCTTGCTGAGGCTGGCTTTGAACCATGATCCTCAGATCTCAGCCCGAGTAGCTAGGATTACAGGTATGAGCCACTGGCCCTGGCTTGCCATTCTTTTATGTGAATGAATGCACAAATATGCCCTTTGTGGTTTTAAACTTAAAAATGTAGACCAGGTGTTTATAGTAAAATCAGCTATTAATTGGAGCCAGTCTTTTTCTTTTCTTTTTCTTTTTCCTGGTCCTGGGGCTTGAACTCTGGGCCTGTGTGCTGTCCCTGGGCTCCTTCTGCTCAAAGCTAGTGCTCTACCACTTGAGCCACAGGGCCACTCTGGCTCCCCCCCCCCCCCCCCCAGTGATTAATTGGAGATAAGAGTCTCATGTACTCTCCTGCCCAATCTGCCTTTGAACTGTGATCCTCAGATCTCAGCCTTCTGAGTAGCTAGGACTACAGGTGTGAGCCACTTGAGTCTGGCTCCCATTTTTTTTCACTTCTGCTCATTTATACAAAGAGTACTGGGTTTTTGTTGTTGTTTTTTGTGTCTTGTTAAAGGAATTTAGGCTTTTATTAACAAAGTAAGAGGGAGATCATGAAACATGGCCTTAGTTATGTGATTTTTAGAAAAAACAATAGCAGAGGTATTCAACCACACAATTCATTAATTATACAAATGAAGTATGAGAATATTCTATTTTTTAAAAAATTTTGGTGAAGATGCTGCATTGAGTATCATAGAAAAAAAACATGCTTCTGTTTTAATTTATTTAGATAAATATTGCTTTTTACTTTCTAATATGGTATATTGGAGTCTACTGAATATTCATATTTGTATCATATGGATTTTATTCCTTTATGGGAAAAGCTGTGTTGATATTTAGCTCTTGAGACTGAAGAAACAATATAAAGTTTATTCTCAGTTAGGATGGAGTAAGAAATTCAGAATTGGGGCTCGTAATGTCCAGAGTATGGAGAAAAATTAGTTTGCTTTCGTTAGTATTCAAAAATATTGAGAGAAAAGTATTGAGAGAGTCTAGTTGCTTGCACATATAATCCTAGTTACTCAGGAGACTGAGACCTGAGGATCACAGTTTGAAGCCAGCCTGGGCAGGAAAGTCTTTGAGACTCTCCAATTAACCACCAAAAAGCTCTCTAAGTGATATGGATGTACAGCCAGTGTGGAGAACCCCTGTACTCTGAGCCCTGTTTCCCTCTGATTCAAACTCCACAGTCTTTTTATAGTTAGAAGAAAGGTGATGCTCCAACTGTGGTGACCAGGGATCTTTTCTGATACACAGTTGTTGTGGTGGAGTTGTGTATGTGAGTTCCAGTACTGTGACTTGAATTTAGGACCTTGTCCTCTCTCTTGTCCTTTTCAACTCATGGTTAATACTCTCCCACTTGATCCATACCTCCACTCCTGACTTGTTTTTTTGGTATAGATCCTGGGGCTTAAACTCAGGCCCTAGGCACTGTTTCTGAGCTCTTTTGATCAAGGCTACCATACTGCCACTTGAAATACACACAGCTCCACTTCTGGCTTTTTGGCAGTTTATTGGAGATAAGGGTTCATTGATTTTCCTGCCTTGGCTGGCTTCTAATCACAGCCTTCAGATATGAGCCCCAGAATAGCTAGGATTATAGGTGTAAGTCAGTGGCACTTGGCTCAACTCCTGACTTTTGCTTAATTTAGAGCTGGAGTCTTGTGGACTGCTCAGCTCAGGCTGGCTTTGAACCTTATCAGATCTTAGTCTCCTGAGTAGCTAGGAATACAGGTATGAGGCATCTGCAACTGGCTGACAGATTTCTTTATTTAGCATCAGCTGCTTCTCTTCCTCCTCCTCCTCTTCTTCTTCTCACCTCCTCCTCCTTTCTTCTTCTTCTTCTTCTTCTTCTTCTTCTTCTTCTTCTTCTTCTTCTTCTTCTTCTTCTTCTTCTTCTTCTTCTTCTTCTTCTTCTTCTTCTTCTTCTTCTTCTTCTTCTCCTTCTCCTCCTCCTCCTCCTCTTCCTCCTCCTCCTCCTCCTCCTCCTCCTCCTCCTCCTCCTCCTCCTCCTCCTCCTCCTTCTTCTTCTTCTTCTCCTCCTTCTTCTTCTTCTTCTCCTTCTCCTCCTCCTCCTCCTCCTCCTCCTCCTCCTCCTCCTCCTCCCCCTCCTCCTCCTCCTCCTCCTCCTCCTCCTCCTCCTCCTCCTCCTCCTCCTCCTCCTCCTCCTCCTCCTCCTTCTTTCTTCCTCCTCCTTCTTTTCTTCTTCTGTGCTCTTCCTGGGAATTGATCTCAGGGACTGGGTGCTATTCCTGAGCTTCTTTTGCTCAAGGCTAGTGCTCTACCACTAGAGCCACAATGCCATTTCTGGTTATTTGTGTGTGGGGAGTGGGGGGTGGGGGGGGGAAGGGGATAGCTTATTGGAGATAGGAGTGTCACAGACTTTCCTACCTGGGCTGGCTTTGAAGCGTGATCCTAAGATCTTAGCCTCTTGAATAGCTAGGATTGCAGCCATGAGTCTCTGGCACCCCACTTTTAGTTAACTTCTTTAAGGATGGAGATGTGGGTCATTGGCTAGGTGCTTGCTTAACATGTGTGAGGCTGTAGGTTCCATTTCCATCACAGGAAAATAAAAAAAAAAGGAAAGAAAGTTAGCTCTGATTCTTTGCCCTTGTTCCATAATAGAAACTTGAAAAAAAATTCTGGGGTATTGGTATTGGTATTAAAAATAATGTAGGTTCAGATTTTAACATGCCTCAGAATTATTTGGAGTCTGCTGGGCTCTCCCCCTACTCCCCCTGGCTTGGGCCTGAGAATATACATATTCAGTGCTGTGCATGAGCCCACTATGACTGCACACCTCTGCAGGTGAGAGATTGACAGGTGACAGGCAGACGAAACCCAGGGTTAACAGCTGCTTCTTCAGCCATCCAGTCATGTCTCTATATTAACGACATGGCTTCATTAGCTAGATCAAACCTGGGAATAACATTGCTTTGGGGCTTTAACTGAAAGATTTTTTTAAAAATCCATTTTCTTTCCCTTCTACAAATTTCTCCTTGAGGGAAAAATTGGTTGTAAAACCAGGCAAAATTCAAATGTGATTCCTCTGTCATTTCTTTCTTTTCTTCTTCTTTTTTTTTTTTTTTGCCAGTTCTAGGGCTTGAACTTAGGGCTGGGGCACTGTTCCTGAGTTGCTTTTGCTCAAGGCTTGAGCCATAGAGCCACTTCTGGCTTTTTCTATGCATGTGGTACTGAGGAATTAAACCCAGGGCTTTGTGCATGCTAGGCAAGCACTCGACCACTAAGCAGCATTCCCAGCCCCCTCAGTCATTTCTGGAAGAAATCTAGAATGACCTTCTTTATGGCTGTGCTGTGTAAGTGTACATAAAACAAAGATTCTAAAGCCAGACTCCAGCTAAGAAATAGAGAAATTTAAAAATCTCACCTTGGCTTCTAGTAACTTCCCATGACCTGGAAAGTTTTACATCCCATTTGCTCTATAAAATGGTACTTAGATATTTTGAACAATGTTTCATGATTTTTTATTTTTTACATAACAAATCTTTAGATAATTTTGTGTTTCCTGATAGAGGTGAAGAATTTTTTCCTTTTCTTCCATTT